AGATCAGTTTACCACAGTGTGTAGTCCATGACTATGAAATAACTTCATACCGAGGAATACACTCATTTGCAAATCAATTTGGTTTTCACGAGAGACTCAAGGGAAAGGGAGAAAGATGTGTCTGAGCGTCTGATTAAGCCATCATCAAACTTTCTAGCCGCAGTAAAATGAACTGAACAGTATGTTTTCATAAAGGAAACTAATTACAAGGTTGCTGAAAACCCTTCGACAGCCCACGACCGGTTTAGCCCTTCTTGGGGCTCATCAGGTAGACGCAGTCCCCGAGTTTCCGTCAACCTTATGTTCTACTTGTAGAATATCATAAACGAGAGATTCAGTTGAGTCTCTCGTGAGAACCAAATTGATTTGCCAATGAGTGCATTTCTCGAAAACGGTCCAATTTGGGTTCAAGTAGAACACAAGGTTGACGGAGACTCGGGGACTGCGTCTACCTGATGAGCCCCAAGAAGGGCTAAACCGGTCGTGGGCTGTCGAAGGGTTTTCAGCAACCTTGTAATTAGTTTCCTTTATGAAAACTTCATACCGAGTTCGTGTAAGAAGCGGATTTGTGAACGTCTAAGTGTAATGGTGAACCAATTAATATCAGTCATCTCTTGTGACTGTCACGCCTTAACTGCGAAATCGTGAAGGTGAAATGAGTCACCCAGCTTAGTACAAACCGATTCGACTAGTCCCTTCAACTTTTATTGAAAATAGAGCGGGGAAAAGATGTGGTATGCGTCTGAAAATTCTACGAAACGAGTACTTCCATCCGAATCGGCACTCATCACGTGGGCAGAAGGAACAAGTGATCTTTCGGTTGACAGGTTTACGCTTTCATCATCTAGACGACGTGCCCACCCACCTGTATGCGCAGCTAGGAGATTTCGGTTAGGCGTGGAATTCGGTGTAGACTAACTAGCAACTTTTTTCAGGTGGTCAAGTAACTGCTGTTGGCTATTTAAGTAGAATATCACAACTATTCACCATACTTTAACTGACTGTTTGAATGAAGTCAACAGCTGGTTCCGACGGAAACTGGGTTTCCATTTACAATTTAGCATATCTGTTGCAATAGACTAATCATAACGTGGACCAGTCTCACAGAACTTCTGTATGTAGAAATATGAGTGCCCAGAGGTTCCGTGAAGGTCTCGTAGGGGATCCACATATGATGCTTCTCAGTAATCAAGAGTGCCCAAGGTTTGACTATCTATACTGACAAGTTGCAGACCTGACGCATAACAGTTTTACGGGCCCCGACAATGGCATGTGATGTTTTTAGGGCATTCGAGGACGTCTCACTCAAATCGTTCTGTGCATGCACTCTAAAGAACTTTAAGCTTTTCTGTCAACGTACACAATATACTACTTATCCATGAGAGCTCGAGATGGCCCAGTAGTTAAAGCGCTAGCTTACTGACTGGAATGTCCGTGATTCGACCTGCATCTCGACTTCTCCTGTCTAGGCTTGGGCGATCTGGCAGCATCTCAGTCCTCGTGCTTTCTTCGGGTGACCTGGCAGTCAGGCACCGAAAAGGCGCTTAAGCTGCTAGATTATTATTATTGCTATCTTACTCGTGAAGTATTTCCAATCAACCACGATCCAATGGTGTTAATTCTTTCCTTGCCCGCAATCTATCAATCGTAATCTATATGCTGTGTGCTCCTATTCCCTGGTATAAAACCAGCCGGGAAATGCAAATTACTCGAATTCATGCCACTCAATAAGTATGGGTAGAGTTGTTACACAAATATCCCCTCAGTCGGAAAACAGTGGACTGTTTTCCACCACACTTCAGTCCTGACTACCAGGGTGAATCAATCCTCTCACCATATACTGCTGCCGTAAAGTGCATATTTCTCAAACCACACTCAAGTGAGGGACCCTGCCGAAAGAGAGCCATCCTCGCTCAGGTTTGTACAAGATTTTATCACCAGTGAAACTTCACAATCTAGCTTTAAATCATAATCCCGCAATTAATGTGGTTCACTCTTTTTTCGTTACACGGACACTAGGTGCCACGAGCAGTATATAACCATTCCAAAGTAAACTAGCGTAGAATTAAGGGTTGATTATGGTTTTGTCGTAGACCTGACATGAAACACTGAAACACGTAATACACTAATCATAAAATTGCTGGAAATTCTTCGACAGCCCACGACAGGTTTCGCCCTTCTTGGGGCTTATCAGGTAGGCGCAATCCCCGAGTTGCCGTCAACCTTATGTTCTAAATGAAACCAAATTGCACGAAATTAGCGAATATACACTCATTTGCAAACTAATTTGGTTCTTTCGAGAGACTCACCTGGAATGTAATTCGCTACACTGAAAAATTAATATACCCATGAAATCCGAGCCAGTTTTATACTGTTTCCCTGGTAGGTATGTTGGTTGAAACCCAGACCAAATTTTAACACACCCGTCTGTTCAGTTATGTGGAACTATTGCGGTGAACTTCTCCTTGTTTTTGAACTCCTAGTTGGACACAGTATGTGACGTTCCGAAGGATTGTTTTTAATTCAGTCACATGCTTGATGGAGCCAGCCGTTTGCTAAGTTTGTAAGTATTTCATCAACAATCATGCAGAGCCAACCGTGTGTAGCTAGGCGGGTTTGACGAACTGGCTAGTTTGTCTTCGTTGGGCAGTAAATTTGGGCATCTTTTTGGTTTCACTTCACTAATATGAATCAACACTCTTCGCAACAAGGGATTGGGACCAAAATCTAGCCGTTTTCAGTAAGGCATTATTTCGCTCACTGTAAGGTCTCACTACGAGCGACTTATTGTCCGATTTGGTGAGCCAGAGCAGCATAAGGCTTGAGAAGGAAGACATACCTGAGGTTGAGCCACAGACCTTCGGCCTACCAATACTGCTACTCAGGGTACCTGTTCTCTGTCACTCATTTACTTGAAGCCAAATTAGTATGCAACTAATAAGTATTTGGCGAATTTCATCCAATCTAGACTCAAGTGCAACTTAAAGTTGACTGGGCCTCGGGGACTGTGCTTGCCTGATGAGCAGTGAAGCATCGGTGTTGAACACTGATGTCGTGCTGTCGATGATGATGATGAGCCTCAAGAAAGGCGTAAACGGTCGTGTGCTGCCGAAAATATCTAATTAACCCTATCAGTAGTGCATTACGTCTACACAACCCCACAAATACTGTTACTGATGAGTGAATTCCATGATTTTCTGTTTCTGACTGAGATATCTGACGGGAGGGATAACGTAATCCATCAAAATGTTTCGGGTTTCTCGAAACAAGACCGACCAGAAATCAGTGGCCTACATTTTTGGAGTCCCTACTTCTGAAACTCTGTTAGCCTGGTCAGTGGGTTACCACGTAAACGGATACGCGAGCGAATGTAGCGAACTTCCGAGAATCAGAGAGAGAAAACAACCGAAAAATTGCTGGTTGCTAGGTTGATACAAACCCGATTATGCCCTATGTCACCACGTCACAGCCCATGTCGGTTTTCGGCTCTTTTATCATGTGTTTTCGTGACTTGTGCCTGGTGTACTATTTTTATCAACAGGTTAGTTGACATGTCCGAAATGGGAAACTATTTGCCTCCAAACAAATGGCCGCATATCTATATCCAAGTGTACGTCTGGGCATGACAGAATCTTTGTGATTGTATTGTGAACTGGCATGTGAAAACCCATTGTGATAGTAAAAAGTTACATTGAGGAGCGACCACGGTGAGATGCTCTGCGACAACAGAAAACAAACATGCGGGAAATCTCCAGAAACTTGAAATAAGGAACGCTTCTCTACCCCGTGAGACTGACACCTGAATATTCACTGTTCCCAGTGTGCAATCACCGACCGCTGGCTTTCTGTTTCAATCCTGACACCGTTCATACGTGTTTGCATAGATGTGTTCGTCCGTTGATGTGTGCGCTATGTTCGCGCAGCGCGTCTGCCTTTTAGTCGACACGAGAGCGTACGGGACACGGAGCGGACTGTGGAGAGAACACACGATGAGCGAGCGGCCGACAGAGCCAGCGAGCAAGTGAGCGAACGGGATTCTAATGTGATTTAATGGTGCTTGACAGGTGGGGGTCACACTGGTTGATTTACTACCATCTGACTAATAAAGAGCTAATCGAACGAATTGGCTATGACAAGCGTGAGGAAACAAGCCAAAGCCGGGACACAAAAAAGCAATACAAACCGTTCGTTGGATTAATGGAGAGAAGCGATTCCATCGATCGTGGGCTGGTTAGGCAGTAGAATTGGTGGGCAGGTTAGCAAACAAAATACGCGTGGCTTATTGGCCCAACTGGCCTAATGATAATACATTATTTTGAACCATGAGAAAAGTGTAATGAGATGAAACCCCTGTGTGAGCACACTTACAACGAAAGAACCCTCTGACAAGTCAACAATATCAAATTGTTTTGAACCAACAAGCCTCAAGGGCTTCTTCCTCCATGATGTACCGGGTTCCCCAATTCGGACAGGTCACATCGGGCTTCGTCCGCAGCCGTACAAAGTACCTCAGATCATGAACAGAGAACTTCATACGAAAGAATTAAGCTCTCGCGTACTCATCATCGCATTCAGTCAATAACGCCTCCAAACATCATTCTGTTAAAAGGAGAAGTTGAAATAAGCGCTCTCAAGAATAACTAAGAAGCAAAAGGGTGATTCTGTGGTCTGAAAAGGAAAAATAGCTAGTCTAGGTAGGACCGGCTAAAGTTTCTATTCCGATCCCCTGGTCTGAGTCGTGTACCACAATTTTTAACAGTTCAAGTGATTTATTTATTGTAAAGATGTGGTCGGATCCCCAACGGCTCAGTCATATAGGATCCCTCGTTCTTATTTGGGGCTCATTTATTAGGCGCATTGGAAGCTGATCTTTTTAAATCCAACTGCACTTAAATGTTTACATCTGGGGAATACTATGGCCACTTATGTGAAGTCACTCGATCTTGAGGTTACTTTTTAGGTAGCTGACTTACCGATTTCTTATTTTACTATGTTTCCAGGGCTCACCCGAATCCCTTTCTTTAACACGAATGTCACCCAGCCGAACGGTTTCAGGCAAAACCGCGGGATCTTTCATCCCTCGCACTTCATCTTCAGGAGATCCAGAGGAAAACCTCACCCGCTGTCACGCCAACTCGCTGTCATCTTCACGATCCTCCTGCTCCTCTGCTTCGTCTGTTGAAGCTCCTTCCTCAAATAATAATCTCGGTGAGCGTCCACCAAATCCCTCCAATACAGACTCCAGTGCTGTATTCCCCACGCGTTCCAACGCCCCAACAAGCCTGTCCTCCTCTGGTACCCTCGCACCAGTAAGTAGTATCCAAACTGGATCCACAACATGTAGTACAACAAGACTACATGAAAATCAAGGTCTAAAAGTTTATACGAACCACGCTCACAGTTCGAGTACCGATGGCCATGGGACTTCCACTAAGAAAGATGAAGAATTTCATTCCACCAACTATCCCCCTTCATTCTCGACTCCAGGATCACAACAGCCATCACACTCGCAACAGCGACATCACTCGACAAATTCCAATGCAGTTGCTGGCGCATCTACCCGACCCGAAATGAACTCCAGACAGGTCAATATTCAGCCCTGCACCAACAGTTCCTCGGTGAATGCTGGTCATAACCTGGGTTTTGATCCCATCCTGGTGAAGGCCCGGGCCTCTGTATATGAGTAAGTTTGATGACTCAAGTTAGAATTACACCGGTTTGCTCAGTTTACGGTTTTACTACATGTCGATGGCATAGACTAGGAAGACCGAATTTCAGTCAGATGCTAGTGGATGGAAAACAGACACGGAAACTATAATGGCAGTGCCGAGAAGGTAAATTGGGCTACAGGATTGATCGGATATTTCAATGTGTCAACGGTTAAGTGACCGAATCTTGCACGCTTTAACATGCTCGTCTGACCTTGACCTACGTAACAAAAACAGCTGATAGTCAATCCAGGTACATTCCGATTCCCCAACTGATGGTCTACCAATGAATCGGTCGTTTCGCATTTAGTCATTCGCCAGTCCGGTTGGAACATGCGACGTGAGTCGACTGATTCCAGCGCAATCGTTCGCCCAAAATTAGTGTTATGCTTTTCTAAATGAGACAGTAACTGCGGATATTCCTGGTTTCTACCTAAGTTCCACCTGTTTCAGCCTATTTGGGATGGTCAGTCAATGAAAATGTTCAAATAGATGCTCTCTGAGTTTATTTTCAGGCTATCCTTCGTTACCAGGTGGGTTTGTGCGATATGGTTGTTATATCTGTGACCAGTGATTTCATGAATTTCAAGTAAGGGACACTTATGCAAACAAGAGCGGTGATCTTCATTGTAACAGATGTAGGGTATATATGCAGATAACAATGACAAGTAGATAATATAGGGGTCGTGGTCATAAATCGTGATGTTCCAAGGTTTGACACGTGTTCCTATGTCATCACCATAGCACATAATGAGGTCAAGTTGGCCACCAGTCGTAGTTTCCAAGCTAGTTATGTACCAACGCTGCTTGATGTCAATTCACTTCTACCGAGGACGAATCGTGTTATCAAACTCTGCATATCTGGTTTATGTTAGTAAGCCGGAACATCACCGCTATCTCGCTTCGAAAATGATCCTCTTTCCCCACATTGATGCACCACGGTTGTGCACACCCTACTTTATCAAATACAAGACTAGCCCTGTTAGCCAGGGGTTGGGGACCAGATAGCCGCTTCGAATTCGCTTGGGCCCATACCTCTGGCCCAATTCCCCTACCTGGTTCTTCTAACAAAAACGTAGACAACTTAATAATTACAATGGGTCAATTGTACATATGTCGTAAAATTGATAAGAGAATAAAAATGCCAAATAACATTCTTTCACGACTGAGCAGTTTCTATCTCTTATTCAAATCGGTCTGAGAGAATATCCTGAATAACAGAAAACTTGGTTACTTTTGGTCTCAGTGAATGTTTCAGGAGTACAAATTTCACCAAAACAAATGAGTTGCATTCGAAGTGGATGATGCTGTTAGACTCGTCACTGTAGCCTCAAGAATGCATCGTTAGCGCTTTCCGGCGTTTCTTGGGCTGCGTAACGAGTACCCTAACAGGATTGTTGTAATGGGGATCGTTGTGTCAATGAAATTGACCACCTCGTGAGCACGCTGTGTGCCCCGACCGCAGTGTCGAATAAGCATAAGCAGCCATGTGTTTGTGAATCCATTAACTACATTGATTGGCTGTCACATAGGAAGCTGACATGGCCTTGGAGGTACAGGTGTTGTCGCGGCTGAAAGCCTAATCCCATGGTTCTTCACTGTGAACGACAGGTGTTTTGTTACAACAACAGCACTTGAAGTGGTTTTCCTATGGGAAGATCATCTCATGGAACCAATAAAAAGTCAATATGGAGCAAACTTGAAAAAACCTACTATTAATACTACTATTGTCATTTATTTTTGAAAAGCATAGCCACAAACATAGAAAGTGAATGCAAGCGATGCATGCGAAAGGGTAGCCGGAGAATATGAGATAAAAGAGAGGAACGTGTCATTCGAATTCACGCCACCAACAGTTATAGTCAGATGAGATGAATCCCAACGTATGTAAAAATTTTGATATGGAAACACGCGTCTAAAGACTAACAACCGAAGAAAGGACAAACAACGTTGAATGCTCTTCAAGGCGCGGTAGGCGCTAGCACAATCAAGACTCGCACGTCAGGCACAAAGTGTTCGTCATACTGGGTCTGGTGTGAGATTAAATAGCGAAAATGTACATTCAACGCCATGTGTCATAAGTACGCAGAGAGCCCACAATGGCAAGCAGACGCAATTCGCTGACTGTGACCCCTTAGGTAGTCCTTGTTCATACTGGCCCAAAGAAGCAAGATGTACAAACTGAAATTCTTCCCTGGATACAAACGACTCTGGTCTGTCCATTATGCGTATCCAACGGAAGTAAGATATTGCACTTTTGTCGGCAAACATGAAGTGGTATAACTAGCCCTGATAACCGCGAGGCACAGGTAAAAGGGTAGGCGATTTTCATGCAATGTGATCACCTCTGCGAGCGGTGTCTTTACCGAATGACAAGCGCATCGGACCGGCACGCTAAAGGGAATCTCAGTCTTTGGGAAAAAGAACTAAACAAATATTTTCAAAGACGGTCTTTGTACTCAATTTGATGATCGTATTGGTATACCATTCGTTCAACTGTAGCACCCTTTCGGTGCCTAACTGCCATGCCACCAGAAGAAAGCACGAGGGCTGGGATAATGCCATTTTGCCCAAGCCTAGAGACGGAAAGTCGAAAGGTAGCAGTCGGGTTCAAACCATGGATCTTTCAGTCAGTAAATTCGCGCTCTAACAATTGGGCCATTGGTATGCCATTGCCGCGACACTGATGTGAGGACAATTACTGCCGTCGGAATGGGATGTCAACGAATGTAGGCCCCTATACAAGACCTTAATCTCACCAGTAGGGGCGAGTGTAAGTTATTTAGACAAACTTACGAAGAAGAAGAAGAAGGATAAGCTAGAGTAAAGGATTTCGTTTCAAAAGGGGTAAAAGTGTGATTGTTTGGGTTGATACTCGTTTAGTGATGGGGTGAATAAGTTTCGGGAACAGTGGCGGGTCAAATAAATTGTGGTGACCGCTAGCTAGTTGGTTCCTTCATTCGTTCTGTTTGGTCCGCTTTTGTAGCCCTCCTTTGCTGTCTACGGTTGCTGCAGGCACATGAACACTTACGTACATGCACACTGCCACACACAGCTGCCCAGCCCAAGACACGAAGTTGTATCCAAGCCTGTTGGGCAAATCCACCGCAATGTTCTTGTATGTATTTGAAAGCCCATCGATCATGGCTGTCAAAGTCATGAGCGGACGACCTGTAGCGCGCGTCGTTTTTTGAACCGACTGACCGACCGCTTTGTGTATATCCGGAACAACAACAGTCCGCAGGCGGTTGTTTCCCACCTCGGCCTACTCTCCACCCGTCCCCAGTTAGATGCGTTCAACAGCCGTGCAATGGTTGCTTTGTGAACCTAGCACTCGCCCTCGTTAGTCCATATTCGCTATCTCCCGTCCTTCATACCATAGGCAATGAGAGTGCGCATTCTGCAGGTGAGCGCACGCGGGGCCAATTTTAACCGTTCAATCATCCACTGTATATAAAAAGATAGATTACACCCTTCTGCCTTCTCCACCCCTCTTTTTGTAGGCGTGTCCACGAAACTATGCACATACACACACCCTAGTCGGTAGACTTGCCTTTTTCGTCTCGCTTGCATGACCAACGAACCAACAATCTGTGTTGTTTGCAGGGTCGGTGGGTTGTGTTCTGTTCCGTTGGCTTAAGACCCATTAATCATTCCAGAATCGATTGCCTTTTGCCTGCTCTACATTGTCTGTGTTTGTGCCTTCGTAAAGTGGAGAATTAGGAATGGGTTAGGGATGAGGGTGGGAACAGGCGGCGTCTCCTCCTTCGTTCAAGCTAGCGATGGTGATTCCGGGCGAAGGGTGTAAGGGGAGACATGTTAGGATAGGTAGAAACATACAGACAACGTGATGAGATTGGGGTTAGTACCATACGGACAGATTGACACATACATACACTGGTAAGGATAATATGTACACCTTTGTGCATCTGTTCGGCGGCCTTATCTGCCACGGCAGCAGTTAGTGTGACCGTTTGGACAGCTGCGTCAGTGTTGTATGCGGCGAAACCGTCATTCTTACCTTGTCACGGGCAAGCACTACCTGGGCATAGCAATTTTCGTGTACGCACACACACACACCACAGGCACGCGTACATGATGTGACCGGCCGATAAGCTGGCTGATATAAAATCTGGCCACTTAGGTTGCATGCACCGAAGCCAGCTTAGCGTTTGTGACGATACGGGAGAAACAAGTACACTCGTTTATTCGATTACGCAACCTTTGAAGAAGTAAATGCATTACCAGCACTCCAGATGCAGATACACCGGCAAGATCAATTTTGTTCTGGACGTTAGTGCTTGACAGGGTAAGTTTTCGGCGGACAGCGACGTTCCGCGTCTACCTATATGTCGGCAGTTGCCAGTCCGGGGAAAAACTGATTGTTCTGCAACGACCAACAGACGGAGCTATGAGATCACCTGTCACACGCGCACCATATCCTGCCTACATACTGTAAATGGTTGCTAAGTCAGGATAAGGGTGAAAGCCGGTTGACTACAACGTTTGTTGCTTGTTCAAACAAGTATTGTGACAATTAGCTACAAGACGATCGACTTTTGTGGTGGTCGGGTAGGTTCTGATCAATCCAACTGTAGCAGTCGTTGTTTATTTCGCAAAAACAAGGGAACCGAGTATAGCTTGACAACCAAAATCACAGCTGCAAATGACAGGTGGTTTTGTTTGGCGCGTAACTGACACTTAGGAACAAAAAACGAATGACCGGTTGTCTGAGATCCGGAGGTTTTGAACGATCATACTAGCCTTCGGGACGGAAAACTGTTATTCGGTTTTTTGTCTGACCCGATGGACTGTTGCTTATGCAGTGCGATAGACCACTGGGAGATGATTACTTTCGAATAAATAGCATGGCTCTTGTACGCCATTCTGAATGAAGGAAATTCTCTTGTATATATCCGAAATTAGGGCTGTTCGAAGAGGACATTATTTGAACTGCACATAGGTCTTTGGTCATGTTATGGAATCAGTTGATGACATGGGTTCAGAAACTCCAAAGCATGTTTGGGATTAGAGTGGAGAACTGTGCTAAAAGCGAACTTCTTTAGCCTCCGAATTTTAAAACGCACTTACTACAATCTAACTCGCCCACTCTATTTCGATGTTGGATTTCAATCGCTATGTAGTCAAACTCCTCACCTGTCACCATTTAGCATGAAAGTTATCCAAACCGATCCGAAGTAGTAAAGTGCACATCCAACTAGGGAAACCCGGGTTTGGCTGTCGAGATTGCTCATGGTAGCCACTACCGAGTCCCATCGATGCGCTGGATGCACTCCCTCTAATCACCATACCATGGACCAAATTGATTCCGGTAGTCCTAAGTGCGCACAGACACAAACAACAATTATCCCACAGAATACTTTTACTCGGGTGAACTAATCAACTATTTGAACATTCCCGATTTATGTGACGGTTCACTAGCTTAGTGCCTATGACACTCATGCGAATACAGGCTTGTTGTCTAGGCCAAATGACGTGGGATGAAGGCGATCCCAACGGATTAAACTGTCGTTAATTTCTCTTGCAAGCAATGAAAGTGAGCAGAGGGTCCACCCATTCGCCTGGTGCGTGCAACCAAAAGCGATAAGGATGCCACAGTCGCAGTATTTAACCCGTAAATAACTGATCGACAAGCTTGAGAAACTGCTGCTGAATGGATTTATTCACTAGCTCATGACAAACCCGTCATCATCACATGATCTGGACAATTCATGGAACAGTCATACATAGTCGCTTAGTTCACTCGCTATGAAAACACCGAAATCGTCCTCTACCCTGGACAGTTTGCTGTGACTAGACTTCCACATTATTAAGACAGTTGTTTCTGTGTAATTTATTTGTCAGCTGGTATCTCCATTCAACCGGCTAAATGTTGACGAAAGCGTAGGGCACCCCACAAAATGATGTCTCAGTCAGCTTTGATATTTCGGATAACTCATAGCGAAGTAGGTTTAGACAAGCAACCAGTGGAGCAGGCACCTATCTGCTATTCTGATCAGCTTTCCTGCATCGGGACACTGTCAGGGATACTTTACGTCAAGTATAGAAAAGCAGGGACTTCACGATTGATTTTTATGCTGTCTTCAGCATAGGTCGCCGAGTTTATCACACTCGAAAACACGTGATTGATCATCATGCCGTTCATGAGGAACCCACAATAGGACTATCCCGCTCTAAAAAGGTTGTTCTCAGGACAAGTCAGCCATCAAAAGTGACCAAGCTCTGTTAGATCCTCAAGCTGGTCGCTACGAAAAGACTACAGAGAAAACGAGAGTCGGAATTTAAACAAGTACCCACAAACTGTGTACACAATAACTAGAAATCGGGCCACAGCCCACCCTGTCTGTTTGCTTGAACAGAGCTGTGATGTCGTTCTGATCAATGAAGCATCATTTGTTCGAGAAATAATCGATAACAGAGAACGTTATATACTGTAGGTTGTTCCTTAGCACCTTACTGATAAAAACAAAACTTAGAAGCTGGACTGATTTGCACTGATTTGGTTGTGATGAAAGACTCCATTGAATCTCTCATTTACGAAGAATATCGGCTAAATACAGTTGAGTCTCTCGTAAAAGCGAAATTGATGTCTAGAAGAATTTTGTACAATTTGGGCTAATTTTGAACAGAATATTGATGTAAACTCGGGAACGGCGCCTATGTGGCAGGCAAAACCGGTCCAGGGCTGTCGAAGAGATTTCGGTAACCTGCTACGTAGTTTCTTTCGAGGAAGAAGCCTTGTTGTCGATTGTCTTCTCCGACTACTTCCCCAACCCTCTAAAACAATGGAATTTATCTTGATTCTTTTTATTTCCATCTGAAGAAAATGAGGGCAAGTGTTTGAAATGAGAAGTGAAGTACACAGCATGAAACTGGGTCGTTCCAGATCCACTTAAGGAGCAACCTGAGAACCTACAAGTACGTCACTCCTAGGCGAGCATCATTGGATCCCTAGGTGCGAGCTATAGAGAAATTAATACCAAATGTTTGATGCGTCAGGAATTGTACTGGCAATACAAGAATATCTCAGTAATCAAGCTGGACAATAGGTCTTATAAAGACTCACTGATGACCTCGGCTCATACACGCGGGCGCCAGTCAGGTTTTTTAATTATTTCAGTTTTTCCCTATTGCTGATTAAAACGAATGACATTTGAGTTTACAATCTGACGGCCAAGGTGAAGGCGTTGACTCAAATGATTCAGGAGTGTAGTGTGCTTCCTGGGTATTGACTTCCTGGATTTCGCCGTCATCCACGAAGACAGTAGGGGGCGGAAACAACCGTCAAACGTTCATTTGCACCGCGTTGCCATAGTACCGAGGTCTACCGACACTCGCGCAGAACTGTCAGATTAATCCAACGCGTAATGCAGTTTGTCAAAATTATGACAAGGTGAGTCGCAACAAACGGATACGACTCTGAGGTCAAAAGACAGCTCGTCCTTCTCTCGTGTTTGTATGTACAAGGTGATCGCTTGTTTGTTTTTTTCAGGCGTCTGTGTGCATGATGCAAATTTCCACACAATCATTTCGAGCAAACGCAGACAGCAACAAGTCACTGGACTTGCACAAAAATGGCTAAGGGATGCTCGGTCTTCGGTAGCTGTGCCAGTCAGGTCCCGAACAGTAAATCATGGGAAATGTTCGATTTGCAGTGGCTGACGCATTCACGGGAAAAGTAATGGCACGCTTGCTGAGTCATACGATATCACAAGGGAGCGAAATTCATTTTGATGTAGACAATGCGTTCACCGATGTTCTTCCTACAGTCGAGCTTGGTTCCCGATTTTCCTGAGTTACGTTGGAATATAATCCATGATTGTTCTACATCTTTCATTATTCTAGTATTCACCTATATGATGGACATATTTGCTTGTCCGATTGGGGGTGCACATAAACTTTCATTCCCAACAGTAACTAATACACCGATCATTTCGTTACCAGGCTCCGGTTGCTCATGATGCATAGTAAACATGTTATTTAGTACAAACGGAACATACTACTCATAAAGCTGTTCACAAATTTTCCACAGACCACAGCTGGTTTTGCTGTTGGGGCTCGCGAAATACACTCAGTATTTTACTTCGTCAGAAATTGTACTGCACTATCTCGACTATCGTATTAACTGAAACATGAGGCCTTTTTGCAGCACATTCATTTGAAGAACATCATAAACAACAGATTTCTTGGATTAGTTTGAGTCTTCCATTGAAACCGAATTCGTGTGCAAATGAATGTATGCCGCAAAGTGCTTTACATTTATGGACAAAACATATCATTTTCTACTTTCCTTTCTCAACTCCATTTCAGTCACCCACTTTTTCCACTCCTGGCCTTAATTTTCGAAAAGTGTGAGCTCGCCACATGTACACCAAGAGATGCCACTGGGTCCAGCGCTTCAAACCACTCTGCCAGTGCCGGGCTGGACGTATGGTCTTCTGAATCCTTCAACGAGGATATCGTTGTATTCGCCAAAGAGGTCAGTGACTATGAAGCATTGATTGGTTGTTTGGCTTAGACCTCAGACTAAATCACAGTGTTCGGATCCAGATCGCAGCCTGCTTTTGTAGTCTACCAGAATTCTGTCCTCGTGACATGGACAGTCTGTCCTATTTGATTCTATGAGATTTCAGTGACTAACTTTCACGTGATGAATTTCAGTGACAGTATAATCAATACAGTTTTCGTCACCGTACAGCCACGAGTAAAATCATTGCGATTCTTTCAGAAGTCACGTGATGCCAACATCACCACATCTAACACCGAATAGACCGTTTTGTGATCCAACAGCAAACTGACGGAGCTCATTTTCGTGACTGAATATCATGAAAACAGTGAAGCAGAATTAGTAAGGATGATGAATTCATTCTGACTGGCTTTGTCGCAGTTGTGAAAGGCACGTTCAACTTTCGTTCGGTAAGCGCACAATGTCAAAACAAGACTTTGGATCAACGAATCGATGTAGACTGTGTGGGAAAGTTGATACCCAGTCAACTGTGCGTCTGGTCTCTTGCCCGTTTTCTTGCTATCCGTGGGAAGGAATCACGTCATGCATAATCTATACTGACTTCTTAATTGAGTAGCTGAGGTTTATCCTCATACGATAAAACGACTGTGTCCGATATATAAATAGTGTGGCAAACAGAATAGTCTATACGTGACCAGTATCATTTGAGCATAGCATAACAACCTTGTTCAACTAGTCAGATGGTAACATAAGCAATTTTAGAAGTGGCTATAGGTTTCGGCCAGCAACGACAAGTTAAGAAAGATGACCGTACTGTTGCTCCACCGAACATCGATCGGCAACGGATTCCTTTCCGACACTGTCAGTAGGAAAGATCCCGTAGAATCATAATAAACCTTTATTTCCCGCCCGATTAAATGCACGGTATTCTAGACCGACCCCGCTTTACTGAACTCTGTACGCCAGCACAAAATGCATTATTGGGGAGTAAATAGCACGAGTGACAACTTATACCGATCAGTAGGCATCAGCCAAATGGCGGCATATCCAGTATCAACACATGCTAACCATGATAGAAGGGAAGCGATCCGTGAGGCATCGTATTTTTCATTCACTTTGTATGGCGAGCTGGAAAGCTTCGTGCCAGGACTGCTGCCGTGATGTCATTAGTAAATGGACTTTTGGCCACAACCTTGGTAAGCTGGAACAAAACGGTTCCAACTTTTAACTATAAAACATCCTACCGTCCGCCAGCGCTTTTCTGTGGGCACCAGCATACCACGTGTCCAGAAGTGCAGGTGGGAACAATCGCAAGGTCCGGAAACTCGGTCACATCTGTTTTGAATACTGTGTATCAAGTACAACTGGGGATGGCGGTTTGGTGACAAGAGTTTGTTTGGAATAAATTTATTCACTCGCTCACATTCACACAAGAGGTTCCGGAAATTTCATTTGTTCATCCCAGGCCCGGTTCCTATCGTTTGGTATGTCCGGGATCGATGGTCGGCTTTGAATTGGAAGTGTAGCCAACCTGTGAATAAGCCCACTTCATTCTTTAAAAAAACTATTCAGTATTCAGTATTGTGTAAGTTGTGAGCCTCGATCGGCAACACCTGTATCCACGCCCCGGGGTTGGATTGCTTGGCTTGTCTGTATGCGGTTGATGCTAGCAACCGATCTCTCATACCCGTTGTGCCTGGGTGTTTCCGGACTGTTGGCCTCTTTCTCAATGAACACAATTAGTACGTAATTACAACCTCACTAAGAAAAATTGAATTCGAAAATTACGTCCATCAGTTTTGTTGGCTTGCCTGTGTGAAGTATGGCAGCTATCGGATAATGTCTCCGGAATTGCACGCCTTGTTCAACATGACATCGAGTGTATTACGTCAACAAGCACCTTTATGCGTCACACTGTGACAAGCCATGTAGGCTGCATGTCCCAGCGCGTCTGTTTTCTGTTGCAGTTCGACCCGCCACAGTTCTGACTGTTCCACAATGCCCAATTATATAATTAACGGAGTCACGATATACACATGGCATCTTTACGAGCAGATGTTCGAACATCACAACCCCGTTTGCTTGTTTCACCATCTTGTCTGAAATTCGACGCAACCACGTTCGTCCGCTCATTCATGCACGCGTGAGTGCGTCGTTGTCAATCGGACGACCGAATCCAAACCAGACTGAAGGCAGAGCATAACCCGTGGCCACGTACTGAAACAAACGGCCTCCGTTACCAGTCTTTTGCCCATCGTTTACTGTGTTTACCGGTGGATTCAATGGAACACTTCATCTTACCCTAATTGGCGAAAACTTTCTCGTCTATGGACACCCACGCGTAACTCTAACCCACTGTACTGGGGCGGGAAAACATTTCGAATTTCGAATTTAAGATTTCAGTTTGCACAGTGAAATCAACCTTTGCCTAAATGCGAATTAACACTATAGGGGAAAATGTCGGTAGCTCAGGTAGCGTAGATGGTCTTTGGCTTGTTCGCTGAGCTGGGCAATTTGATTGCAAACGTTTCATCACCAGTCGCGGTGACATAATCAGTGCGTTATTGGGGAGCGTAGGTGTGCGTAGCGGTGAGTTAGTGGTTGTGCCCAGTTCAGCAAACAAGCCAGCGACTTTACAGGTTTGTCAGTTCTGTTGGGAACCGCCGACGATATGCGTCCCACGAATCCCTATTCTGACTCGGGTTGATTTTCGGATCAAAAACTGGTCACATGAACTTTTTAATGACTGCTAATCAAAGGGTCAGTGCACGTGAAAGCAACTGTGCGTTAGAGGACGAGTGGGCGAGATAGAATATAAGTTTAACCTCAATCCATTGTCGCCTAGCCTCCGGTGACTGAATGTTGGAGCTCTCATCTTTAGTCAGGGGTTCCAAATCCTTCTCAAAGTTGTGAGATGGGTAACATCAATGAGCCGTAGTATAGTTAAACTGGTTGTACTTTACGGTTTCAGCAGGGACTTCAGATGCAGGGTAAATTCTCACAGCGAGTCCCTTATTATTGTTTCCGAGTTGTGCACACACCTTGTTCCTCTGAAACAATCCACACGGGAGTATATGGTTGATCGTAGGTCTCACACTAAAACAAAATTAAAATAGTCATGAATGAGTATTATCTGTCTCATACAAACCTTAGTGTATATGATGTCTAAATCCACCGTTATGACGATAGCACTGGTAAACAGGTTAAGCCGTTTTTAATTGTTTATTTGGAGATTTTTCCAGTTTCCACCTCACATAATGTTATCTATATCTACTGTCGAGCATTCTGCGAGATGTTTAAGGCACAGTAGGGTCAACTTGAGTCATCTTCGTATCATCGATCTGAGGAAGATCCAGAGTTCCCGAATATTATGCTTGTCCCTCAGTGTTCCTCCGTCTTTTTTTCCAGTTGGCGAGCTCGCAAAAAAACATCCGAACCGGAGAACCGGAGTTGGATTCTTTGGTATGTTGGAGTGTCGTAATAGTGTCATTTGCTTCCGTCACCCTGTTCAAATAACGTGGCTGGAAGTGAGCAGAAAAGTTTTTATACCTCGCTCAACCTCTCCTGAACTTTCTAATTAGATCACCAAAGTTTATTATCATGCTCCATACTTGTTAGCCTCTCAGCTATTGCGGGTGTCCGATAGATTAGGCCGTGGTCCAACACAAGACCAAAGGTGCGAGTTTATAGATATGTGCTTTTTCACCTGTTAGTGAGCACATGTTTTCTTCATATCACACAACCGACGTCTCTTTGTTTTTCCAAAAACTCAACCAAGTCAATATCTGGCATTTGTGATGCCTAATTTGCGTACCACAATGAGAAACGGAGTCCCGCCTAATATGTAACAGGATAGTTATGACCGTGGATTCGTTTTCGCCGACTTGCCATTCGAATCGTGTCAGTCAACCAACGTTTTACCAGTGTTTTTCACTTTTTCTCTCTCTCCATCTCCTGTTCAGATAATCCAAGCGATTCAAGTTCTCCGGTTTCATTTGCTCGAGATTGAAAAGGTGGGTCCATTTGGAATGTGCTAGCTGCCTTTTTTTCTTGCTCAGAGCTCAGGTTGTGCTGATGTTGTAAATCGTGTGCGTCCGAGGTTGTGTGTTTCAAGGCAGGGTAATCTGACCAATCGGGGGAGGTGGGACACACACCAGGTCATCTCAGTTGCGGAGCAAGCCACAGGCACAGTTAGGTTATCTGTAATCAGTAAGAGATTTGACGTGTACGATTTTCTCCGCCGCTCGTTTTCCGATGCGACGGTATGTCTGCGTGGCAAATGGCTGCTGGCCTCTGCAAATTACTACCCCAGCCATTGGAGGAGTTTAGAAACCTTTCAATTTATTGTTTTCTAGAACCATCTAACGGATACACAGTTACGGATTTGGGAGGTCGCCTGCAAAGTGATTGGTGTAACTCAGCGGCCCACAAACTTCTGTACAGCCACAGTGTATTGGATTCAGACACAGCAACTAGGCAGTCTACAAATGTATTCGATGCCAGCATAATCATATACCAAGCGATAAACCATCTGAATCAAACGTTGTTGATCTTTTTCATGAGAACCTAAATGGAATGGTAAACGGACCGTGTACTAATGTTAACAACCGCCACTCTACAGAGTGAAAGTAGCTGTGCGAAAAAAAGTGGTTCCACCAAGAATGGGGACCGCAAAATGCCAGAGACAACGCCTGTCCAGGTACTTCAAGCGCATATCTTATTCTAACCTCCCGGTATCTTCGTTACTTGTTGCATGTTTCCATCTTCCTGCTGTAGCACGTCTGTTTCAATTGTGACCACTGAGATTCACCTGTGTGATTACATGAGGCCATGTTAAGCTGAATTGGTTTTATGGCATGACTCAGTCAGGTGTATTATTAAGGCAGAATTATCCTCACTTAGTATGCGTGTGCTATAGATAAAGAAATAACGACACGTCGTCGCAAAAGCCTTTTCCTTCTATCTGCAAAAATTTTATCTGCTGTAATACAAAGAGAAAGGAGCCCCTGATGGGATTAATGCTACACAACTTTCTGGTGGAACGAGCAAGTGACTCAGCGTAGAAACGCGTCAATAGTCGTAGTTATTCCACTGATGACAGTTCTTGGGGTAGAGATCGTTTTTTGCTTTTGTTTTTATTTTTACAGCATTACTCAGACGTATACCATATGGGGTTTTAAATCTCCGTCCGCATCCAGTAAAACAGTGAACACGCATTACGTAGTGGTTTGTGGTTCGACTTTCTTCAGGGCAGCTTTCTACCGGCCTGCCTGGTTACCACATCTTAGTATACCTTGAGTAGCATAGCACATCTGTCTGAGTTAGGGTAGGTCGAAACATGAAGCAATGAGCGAGCGAGCAATTACCACCAGTTCGCTACTTCCCAAAAAATTCAGTTATTCACTGTTGTTGCACACACACATCCCTCCAAGAACTTCTCATCTGGTTGAGGACCCTTACCCTAATCCCGTGCTGAAAAGGGCACACATGCACAGATCCAGTATTTTCGACGAATGTAGTCTGAATAATCCGCAGATAAACTGCTTCTGGACAGCACGATATGCGTTGCTACTTTTTTGAGAAGAGGTTGAAAAACGATCATTTGATAGAGCATGTTTCATCGCTTCACTCTTTGAACGTTGATTTACTTTTTCATTTCTTCCGGCTAATATCACTCATTCGCATCTGTACTATTGATTTTGTTCGTGTGTTTGTTTGCTTTTATAGGTCCATGAACTCTGTGATAACTTTTGCTCACGTTATATCACTTGCCTCCGGGGTAAAATGCCGATTGACTTGGTCATTGAGGATCGTGACTCAGCCGGGTCAACAGGGTCTGGGAATAGTCCTCAGCCAGCAAGTGGGCCAATTCCTACCAGCTTGTCGTCCGGTCCGATGAATGCTGGGGCTTCTCAACCTGGAAGCATGTCCTCTCATCCTAGTGGGAACAACCTCTTTCACAACTTGTCTGAAGAGGGTGGCCCGCTGTCAGCGCAACACCCTTTACATCACCCCAGTATGATGGGTTTGCCGGGCTACCCTGGAGCCTCCGGTTTCCGAGGTGACCCAACATCAGCCTATGTGGCTGCTGCTGCGGCCGCCTCTGTCTCCCAAATGGGTGGAATTCTCGGTCTAAGCGGAATGTATCCCGGTGTACAAGCAGGAGGACCATTCCAACCGGGGTTCCCAGACCCTCGTTATCCACACCAAATTTCTTCCCATCCATCGAGTGGATCCTTCCCAGACTCCAACAGCTATTACGGTCAACATTCCCATCCATCTGGTCAAAACCCACCACCCCATCCCGGTGGTGGTTATCATCATCGTGATTCCAGATCATCCGGTGTCTATCCTCCATCCTGCGCCTCTGGTGGTTCCGCGTACGGTGGAGTGGATTTGGGCCCAGAAAACAGACCTCCTCATCTTGGTTCACCCTATCCCACACAGAGTGCAAGTCTGGGTGGAGGGTCATTTAACAGCTCCCCTGGATTTGGCGGTCCAAACGCAGCCACACATTTGGGTGCTCCCGGTGGCTATGGTTCACAACATCAGCAACATCAACTCTCCACAGATGCCCTTTCATCATCTTCTTCATCGGGTGTTGTGGCACGTTCGAAGGTTAGTCGTGACGTCTGTCAATCTAACCATCACAAATGTCTCTTTTAACTTGTGTTTCAAGTGCATAAAACGACTTCGACTCTCCACAGATGCCCTTTCATCATCTTCATCATCGGGTGTTGTGGCACGCTCGAAGGTTAGTCGTGACGTCTGTCAATTTAACCATCACAAATATCTTGTGTTTCAAGTGCATAAAACGACTTCAGAATGTATTTTTGGAATGACTGCATGGCTTGGACATGTTGTCTGCACAATCCCCCGAAAGTTCTTGAATTAATAAGATGAACAATATAGTAACGACACCTAAGATCACACGAACATTGCATGAAGGTCGTTACCAGGGTCACGCGACATACCCTGCATCAACTAACAGGGAACACCTCGATGGAAAACGCCGATGTACTCGAGAATCGACATACAGGTAGGCCAAACTTGAGGGTTTAACTACATCCATCAGTACGTAATTCTTTTAGCGTTTCTTCGTGTCGACGTTCTGAAATACTTGATCTGATGGTAACACACAACTAGTATCCATCTGAGGTATCATGTAAACCCTTCCGGCAAAGATAAATGCATGTATGAGACGTCTAAAGATGTATCCAGTGAGCCAGGAAACCTGACTGTTTGCTTCTGATGTTCTTTAGACTAATGTTTTGAGCACTGTCGGGGATATTCACACTGATCAGTATTAAAATCCATCGTGAACCAACTCGTTGAATGTTACTCTGCAATGTGCATTACTCATATATCCGTCTTTTTGTCAGTATGCGTCCAGACTCGCTTTCACTGAACGAGATACAAATCTGTAAAACTCTTAGTGGAAACAGTTGTTGGTTGAGTGGAGCTATTTTATCACCATTTACACTTCATCCTTCGCAAGATGCATCAATGCCGAGTGAGAGAAATAGCCATCCGAGTGTATGAGAGAGCCGCAGCATTCTGGTTTATGCCTAATGGGCATCAACCAGTGCTCACTGTGAGTACACATTGGGGATGTTTAGCTTCGACAATATTACATTTCAGGCTCTGTTAGGCGCTTCAGAAGCATTCACCCGGGAACCCTTCGGTGCTCAGCCCCTAACTAACTCCGGCAACCGCTTCCATTTCTTGCAAAATGTGTACATTTCCTGCCACATCTCAAAACGGAGCCGCGATTCTAGCTACGCATACACGTTTTTCGATTGAAAACAAATGATTTTACATTTTGTTACCTGCTTGCGTTTGGGAAAAATGGAAAAAACGCCATTCTTTCGCTACTTTTAAAGAGAACCACATAATGCGTTTGATGTCCCTACCGTTCTGTATATTCCTCGTCTTGTTTGGCTGATTATGGGACCGATCAAACAAGCGGACAGCAGAAATCGGCGGCTATCTGTCTGCTTTGATGGACCGGCGGCCGCGACTGCTGATGTTGTTTGATGTTTCCGATAAGCAATCTCAAGAAAGTTGCGTAAAATCTTCATGCACGCTCTGGGAGGCGGTTGCTTGTGGTTAGAGACTAGCTATTTAAGGAGAGATACATGCATTGGTATGCCCGAGTAGGCAGGTAAATATACTTATTAGAAGCTTCCCAAAATAGGTCACACACGCACAAACATGTCTGTTGCAACTGTATTATGACCAAATAACCAAGCGGATGCTAGTGAATTTGAGGCAAAACATCCGTCAGGAAGACTGTCAATTTTGCGTCACACTCAATCACATATCTACACACCGCTGCAATGTATGTGCATGTTCAAGTTTAGTTTGCTAGGTATCACTACCCTTCAGTTTGTTACTTTGCTTTTAGCCCATACTGTACATGGTTTGCCCAATTTCAGCCTGTCCTATCAAATGATACCGTCTGATACACATACAAAGTTTGTACGGGAAGTCCATCAGATAGCGTTTCTTGGGTGCACCTTTGTCGTGCTGACTTTGTCGTTTGTCGACTATGGTGGGTGTCGGTCAGCAGGCCTGCCAGTATTTGTCAACACAGTGATTGACATCGGCATGCTAGCGGTGTTTGTGATTGTGTGGTTGGTAGCGGTCTTTCTTGTATGATTCGAGGGAGTATTCACAATTAGATGGCTTCAGCAAACACAGATTTTGACTAGCGGTGAGAAAATACGAAAGTACCTGAAGTTAATGGCATATTTATTTCGGCTCACAGAGGATAGGGTAGTCCGCTCAGCTGAATAGCGCTCACGTGATACACAGGCATCTTACCGATATTGTCAGAACTGCATCACGGGAAGTGTCGTAACAATAAACGCATTGTTTCTATCAGCTGACCCAGTTCAAAGGACCGCGTACTGCGTTACACGTACTAACAAGCCATGTCTCCGTGGAATTTATTAGGACTATCATTGCCGTAAACGATGCTTTGCTAAAATCCTTTCATTAAACAAGATCAAGAGTCTGACGTGAAGCAAACTGAATCTTGCAGTCAGGTGTAATTTCATTTTAGTAGTGATGAGGACAAGGTCAACTGATCGAAGTTGAAAATAGAATTTTTGACTTATAGTGCTCGGTTTTTCGATCAAACACCGTAACTAGGAATGTTTCATTACAACGGCTTTATGCCCATCCTCTTCCCCTTAAAGGTCCCTCCTGCATTTTGACCACTACCTTGTGTGGAAATTTCTGAAGTATGTTAGCTTTGACGAGCTACAGAGCCGACATCCCACGGATTAATGTCAGATTGGAGTCTATTGTCGTAACATGCCGAACAAGGTGGCCCAGTGGCAAGTAATTTAATGAAACACGACGAAGAAGTGGTACTTCAGGATGTTTTTTTACTCCATATGTATGCCACGGGCGCGGAAAAAAGCTGTAATCGGCATATTATGATAACAATCGTTTAGCTGTAACACCAGCCCAGCTACCATGCGAATCGAAGGAAGCACGAGGACTGAGATACTGTCAGGTTTCCAAACCGCAGGGAGGAGCAATCGAGATGCCGACGAAACTTCTGTTCAGTAAGATTGTGCCCTAACCACTGACGCATCTCGAGCTCTCGAGCTCAGAGTAGGCATAATTTAACGTGAATTAGAAACTACTCTAATAGAATACATTGAACCGCTGAGTGGATTTTACTATCTGTACTAAAAGTCATTTTAATGGTTACGCAAGTTGTGCAACTCTGCATTCCTTGAATCACAACTTGTTGGCTGGAAAAACACCAAATAACAGGCTCCAGAACAATTTTTCACGAGCTGTTCATATCATCTCTCAGATATTTACTATCTTTATCACCCGTCAATTTTAGGAATGTTTTTTTGCAATTTACTGTGCTGCTAACATTTAGGTTCTGCGTCATGCTAAAAACCAGGCAGCTCACCTGTGATAACTAACAGTAAATTGGTCATTAAATGGTCCGAATGAAGGTGGGTGGATAAACATGAGTAGTAGTTCAGGTCATTTGACGTGTAATTCACACAGAGGGGAAACATTGTGCCACTACTATGGTTCACGTGCAACGTTCTTAGATGGTTCTTCTACGCAGAATAGCAATGGAAACAAGTGGATTTACCGGGACATTTCTAAGCCTATCCACAAGAGCCTAGGTTTGCTGGTGTATCTGATGCACGGAGCCCAGTGAATGATCAGCTAGCATTGTCACTCGTTGTTACCGTGACTTCCATTGACTTACAAAATCAAGAGCAGTATGTTGTGACGGCGTTCTCCACCCACCGTCGATCTCGGAGATAACCAGACCCAGAATGTTGGGTCGGGTGGTGGTGCTTGTGTGTTTTTGTGAATGTGTCTGTGTGACAGCCTTGGCGCCAACATGCGGAGAAACTTGGTCACATCCGGTCGGTTGGTTGCTGGTGTATGTATGTATGTGTGTGTGTGTGTGTGCATTTGTCTAATCCACCCGAGTATTTCCCGTGACAAGACAATGACAATGGCAAACATTAGTTTACCGAGTTGGCATTTGCTTGTCAAGCACGATAACATCGCCGCCTGTGTGCGTTGTTCAGCTCAAAACACGCGCACATTTATGCACACTAATCCCATCGAGGCTTGTCATTGTCAGTGGAATATCATGGGCAAAGACACCAGGACACCGGAATTGAGCGTATATGGTCTGTCCCTACGTGCATTTGTATGCCGCAGAAGTTGAGGTATGTGCATCTGTGCCGGAGAAGTTACTGTGTACATCGCTGATTAACACAGAACTTGCCGTCTGGTTTCCGTCGTCGGTCTATGCACGTGCGTACATCCACCATTTTGACCCGGCTTTGCTGAAGCTGATCGACTGAAAAAGGCGGTTTAAATCTGTCAAGTGCATAATGTGAAATTGGCGGTACTGTAAAGTATCACAACAAAATTGTGGGGTTGCATTCATTTGAATTTTGATGCAGTATTCCCTTTCACTGGATTGTGACACTTTATAGACATCAGCAGCAAAAGCAATCTGTCTCACCCCTTTTTTGAAGTGGTACACTGAGTGAGGATGTTCTCTAGACGTGTGGCTTGAGCGCCTATCTAAACGTTCTCTGGGAGCCGAAGCAATGCTTCGTAAATTATTGAACTACTGACTGATTTGCTTGAAATTAATCGGTCACTCTTCTCCCCTACATCAACCTAAACCAGTCAGATGACTGTAGCCATGTAGTAAACTTCAAATGCCATTAGATGTTCTTAGGACTGTACCCTTATGAACCAACAATTCTCACCAGTTTCTCTCCCATACAACGACACCCCCTCAGAAGGATTGGTTTTGAATCCATTGCATTTTTGTTAGATTTGCAATACTTCCATCCAACGAAGCTCGTCCAGTCACCAACTAGAAGCTCAGTTCGTTCACCCATAGCCTGGGAAAACAGAAGTGAAGAGTTGTGTATTGGAGACAGTAGCCAATATTGTTGATGCATGGCAGTATACTTTTCACTGGGGAAACTGGGAGAAGCTACATTGAAGATGGCCTTTTGGATGAATGCGCTCCACTGAGAGCTTAACTGGGCCATGTTTGTCAATGTCCCTAGCCATTTACGTGTCCCGTCTCGAGACTT